GAATAAATAATGCAGATGAAACAAAGCCCCATTGATAGACTATAAATTTAAATGCATCTCACTTGATTACCACGATGGTTGCCCGTTTAATTATGTTTCATAGGCCTACATGCGAAAAGTTTGTATCAGTGTTTCTTTAGTTTATCTCACATTCAAAGTACCTTACTTATATCTCATCCACACTTCGTACTTTTTTCCATTTCACTAAAGACATGAATTTTGCAGTTGGTGAAGGGAACACGAATCAGGTTACTTCGAAGGATGTCGAAGTCCAGCTTTTCGTGTGGCAAACAGACGTCCCACATGATTGCTGCCGACGACAAAAAGATAAGAAGAAAATTAAACGGCGACGGTATAGAGAAGGACCCCACTTGACTGTCAGTAGACTGTGGATCGTGCCATACGTGATTTATGGTAAAAGGAGTTTTATGGGTAGGGCAGCACGCTAGATAGTAAGCTGACAAAATGAAAGAAAGCACAGAAATTGCCTGGATTTATACCAAAAGTATTATCCTACGCTATTGTACGACAACGGAAATGGGAATGGTAATTAAACCACAAACAAAAAGTAAAACTCATAAAATACGAATTTTAAGTTAAGGTGTGAAGTCGTGGAAAGTAATCGTTGTTGACAGTGCAATTTCTGCAACAGCCTGCAGGTGTGTGCCAAGGCAAAACCCCATATGACACGATCCACAGTCTACTGCCAGTTAGGTGGGGTCCTTCTATATACCGTCGCCAATTAAACCAATGCTAGAAGATTGTTCCACGTCACTAAGGATGACAGGAATCTTGCTGTTTCGTGAAAAAAACGCGAATCAGGTTATCTCAGGTGATTTTGGCACTGACTTGATATTTTGAATCTAGTCATGGAAGTGCTTGATGGTAACATTTAAGGAGATTGCTGTGGTGACATCCATACGCGTAATTGTACTTGTACTTGATACGGCTGCGATCATGCCTGATCTAGCCGGCTTCGATGATGTCCCGAATTGTACCTCTCCACGCGTGACGATCCGCGGCAGCAGATCTAGACAGCTCAACCCATTCCCTTCGCCAACGACGGAGACCGAATACCGAAGGTCCAAGAACCACCTCCATGTCTTGACGGACAGTGTCGAGCCAGGTTTTGAACTGACCCCCTCTTCGACGCCTCCAATGGGGCAACGGTGCCGGGTCGAGGGCAGTAACACTGAGCTCCTGAGGTGGACGACGAAGAACATGCCTGAACCACCTCAGTCGTCTTTCTTGGATGGCCTGAGTTATCCTCGCGATGTTGTCGCAGCGAGCGCGGACTATCTCATTTGAGACGAAGTCGGTTAACTTCACTCGAAGGATGATCCTCAGGCAGTGGTGGTCAAATTCCTCCAGTTTTCGCTCATCCGCCACGCGCAAACCCCCGCATTCGCAACCGTAGAGAAGGACAGACCGGACAGATGCACGGTACACGCGAATCTTAGTGGCGATGGAGAGGTCACGTCGGTTCCACAGGCATTTCCGAAGGCTTGAAATAATCCAGCGGGCAGCATCGATTCGGGAGACGATGTCGTCCTTACTCTGTCCATTAGGCAGCAGCCGCGCCCCGAGGTATTTAAAACTGTCCACTTCTTCAAGTTGACAGCCATCAATCCCCAGGGGTGCCTTCTCCTGGTCAGGAATGCAGCTTGAGAATACTTTGGTCTTCCCAGCGTTTATGGACAAACCGACTGATTAAGCGACCTCGTTTACTCGTGACACCAAAACTTGAAGCAAGTAAGGCGATATCATCGGCATAGTCGAGATCAGTCAGTCGATGTCCGGGTGCAAATTCAACGCCGTCACTGTCGCGTAGGGCCCTCCCGAGGATCCAGTCAATAGCGTGGTTGAACAGTATGGGTGACAGGATACAACCCTGTCGGACGCCAGACCGAATACCGAACGGTTGGGAAAAATTGTTACGGACCAGGACTCTCGCAGTAGTGGAACGATAGTAGGCCTTGATCATGGCGATGATTTTTGCCGGTACACCATCTAGCGCCATTATCCGCCATAGAGACTCACGGTGAACGGAATCGAACGCGGCGGCAAAGTCAACGAAGCAGACGGCCTTCGGTTGTTGGTAGTTATGGCGAAATTCGATTATGCGCCTCAGTGTGAATATCTGATCCGCGCATCCACGTCCATCACGAAATCCGGCTTGGTTGGGCCTCGTCCTTAAGTCACGCACAGCCTGGAATCGTCTGGGTAGGACAATAGCGAAGATCTTTGCAGCAACGTCGATGAGACTTATGCCGCGGGAGTTCTCGCATCTCGTCTTATCTCCCTTCTTGAGGATAGGTACAAGGATGCCTAAGCCCCAGTCATCAGGAACAACCTCGTCTCTCCACGCTCGTTCAATCACCTCATGGAGCCAGGGCGCCAGAGTGTCGATACAAGACTTAAAGATTTCAGCGGGTATACCGTCCTCTCCGGGTGCCTTATTGTTGCGCAACTTTTGTATGGCATCGGCGATTTCTTCCTCGGAGGGGGGATCGTTTGGCACCGCATAGGTAGGAGAGGGAAGAAACTCCGCTGAGGAGGAGAACAAGGGCGACGTAGGTTGGGTATCGAAGTTGAGGTGGTGCTCAAAGCGCTCACGCCAGCGCTCGACTTTGGCCGAGTTGTCAGCAATAAAGCCGCTGTTCACATCGCGAACAGAGTCACTCCGTGTAGAGGGCTTACCGCTAACTTGGCGGATCAGACGATAGAGCTTTCGAGTGTCACCAACGTTCGAGGCCTGTTCCATGGATGTCGCGTAGACCAATAACCTTTTTCTATTAACCTCGAGACCACTAAGCCTACTACAAAGTAAACATAAAACCACCCATGAATAAACAATATTTACTCAAGATTTTGGATCCATGACTGATCAAAAACAGCAACAGAATGAAGTTGTGGACGCACATTGGGACCAGTGTGCATCGGTACCACTGAACGTCGTGCCTCACTTTCTTGGCCCAGCCGCAGTCGCTTAATGCCCGGAGAGCAAAAACGCCTTTGACCGGCTATCCCGGACGTTGGGGCTGTAGCCCCTTTCAAGGTCTACAGCTGAAATGTTGCAGAATGGACTTCCTCAGTGCTTGGGAAGACGAGGCACTTTCAATTGTCAGTCGTTTATTTTCAGCTTGCAAGCAGTAGAAGGGACCACGAGTTAACATCAAAAACGCACACGTTCACATTCGAATGCCTGCAGCTCCACAAGTCGCGAAGGGGTCTCCAGTGGGCACCTCGGCGAGCAGATCCAAGATCTCACGTCATTGCCGTGATCAACTGAGTCCTCCGGTGCAGTATGAGACTCTACTGTTCTTCCTGAGGCTCTATCCTCGTCGCCTTCAATTTTGAAATAATTTTAACAAAAATTCTACTTTAAAAATCCCAGAGAAATGGGGTTAAGTTAGAATATTCCACAATGGAGTAGCACAGCTAACTCTAGTGCCAGGGAGTTTGATAAACCTCGAAATGCATGTCAAATTGCATTTGCACCTGGTGTCAGATGCAGGCACTTTGATCTTTACATCTTGCAAATAGGTCGCCCAGTAGGATGGCACTACAGGCATGCACGAATTCCTCTCTGATGAGCTGTCACGTGAGTAAATACGCTCGTGTACGCAGAAAACGTTTTAACTTAACAACTGAACGTCACTGGTAGATGACTGCATCCATCAGACCTGTTCTCCCACGTACTGTTGAGAAGCCTGTTTCATAGACCTAACTAATCAATCACGTCAAAGTAAACTTCAAGCTCGTTGTAGCAGTGGATCTGTCAGCAAACGGCTTCGGCCAACTTGCGAAACGTTTTCTGCCGCGTGAGTGAAATAAAGACGAAGCAGGCCACTGGATCAACACGACGTTCCCGTCTTCATTCGTCCTTATTTAAACATCAGAATCCTGCGTGAAATTATACAGCAGGCGAATCTGTGCGTGTAGTAGCCAAATTGACAAATTGGAAGACGAAATGTGGGCAACTCCGACGCTACCATCCTAAGGCACATGACAGCCATGACGATTTAATTCGAGAGTCTTCCAACATCCGGCAAAAATAGGGGACATGTTTTCGCGAAATATCGAGTCTGTAACGAGCTAAATTTTTCATTTGTAATGGTAGGGTACTTTGATGATATAAGTACACCACAAACCACACGATTACCTCCGGTTGTCTTTACTTGGTTTCCGTTTGCTTGCAGAATTTGGCTACGTTATTTTGGGTGAGCTGGGAGGCAATTAGGGGTTGACGACATTTCTCCTGATTGCTAATGTTTGGTCGGCCATAACCGCCCAAACTCTCCTCCCCATTTGCCCGACAATGCTGTTTCGCCGGCATCCGTACCAGACTTGTTCAACGACGGTTACTCACATCGTAAAAATTAACGACTGAAAAGTGAACGACCAAGAAACCCTTGGAACAATTGCAAACACTTGCAGTGTATTCGATAACAGATACTTTGTTGGACAAATAGTAGCATAACAAATACAGTCTATGTCTACCGTCTTTTGCTGTCTGCGGTTATGGGCCACAGAACGCATCCGAAAAATCGTAGGAATATCGTTCTTGCTCCGCCGACCGAAACTCATTCTCTTCAAACACTGCCCAGATCTGACAAAAGCATTGGTTTCTCCAACATACTCCTTCTCCACCCTCCCTGATGTAGTATAATTGCCATTCATATTAACGTACAAAAATGTGAATTTATGCTTTATTACGGTTATGCATCATGTAGGTGGATGAGCATCTCCCTCGGTGATTGACACACTTGATCCAGAGTAAGGCACCAAAATATTTGACTCGCAGCAAAGCGAAAGACGTTTTGATCGGCTATTCCCAATGTTCGCATTGTAGACCATTTCGATGTTTTCAAATATAAAGTGACAACATGCATTTCGACAGTTCTTGAGAAGATGAAGCGGGTTCAATTGCCAGTCGTTTATTTTAAGCTTGCAAATAGCAGAAGAGAATCCGAGTTAACATGAGTAAACGCATGCGTTCACATGCGAATGCCCGCAGCTCCTCGAATATCCGCAAGGGTTTCCACTGGGCTCTTCGTCGACCAGATCCAAGATGTCAAGTCATTGCCGTGATCAACTGAGCCTTCTGGTGCAGTTAGGGCCTCTACCGTGTTTCCTGATCTCCCATCGCCGCCTACAAATTTGAAAAAATTCCCATGCGTATCCATCTTAAAAAGGTCCACAGAAAATGAGCCAAATCAGAAGATTAACAGTAATCACAATAATCGAAGCACTGCTGCTCAACCGTATAAAATATGCCGATAATGGTATCAAATCGCATGAGAGAAAAAATGCACTTAATTATGCGTCACCTCAAAACAAAGGGGCTTGACTTACCACCGAGGGCAAAGAACGCGTCGCGGGTGGTGATAAGAGAGAAAAATGAACGAGGCTGTTTCATCGCAGCGAGGTCCGTCCACTGACCGAGCGGACATCTGTTATCTGGGGGAGAAAACATCTCCACAACGTTGACTTTCTTGTTACCATCAAATCCACCGGCGGCGATGATTATCCCTCTAAAGTGTGTTGCTGAGAGAACTGCGCGCGCAATTCTCATGGGGGCAGCTCGTAGCCAAAATTCGGCGGTGCTGGATGAGGTGGCCTTCACTTGCCAGTCTGCTCGCAGCTGACAGAACTCCACGGTAGCAGTCCAGGCAGAATCGTCCTTACCGCCAAAGACGAAGACCCGATTGTCGCGGGGTAAGCACACAGCAGCTGGACCGTTCCTCTTCTCCCGTAGATCGGGCAGCCTGTGCCACCTGTTGGGGGGCATGCGAGGGGGAGTTGTGCCGATGAGTGGGCGAGGCAGCAACATTTACGAAAAAGTAAGAGATCTGCGTCACGAGCGTTCTTACCTATCCTGACTGACATCATACACTTCACAGGAGGAAAGGCGTTTAAATGTTCCTCCTTCACTGCGGCATCCACCAAATATGCCAATCAGCATCCTCTCTTCCCATCCCTTATCTGCAACACCGACCTTCAAGACGGAGGCTGCATGCTGTTCGCGTCCAACGGCGAGGGGTGCCCGTTTGCGCCAGTGCCGTTCTCTCACCAGGAACTCATCAACACTCGTAGAGTAGCTCTGCTGCGCAGTCTCTCCTCCGACTACAAAAATGCTCTCTTCCAGAAAAGGAAAATTCAAAAATGTGGATGACGTGTAGGCAGGTGTCTGTAAAGTGTGTCATAACTGTTTAAGCAAGCCGGTGTGGTTCGTGAGGATCAATTTATCTTTACTTGACTGCGTAGTCTGACAATCTGCATAATTTTTTAAGATCAACTAATGCAGTAGCATTACAGGTGTGGTCACAACTGACCGTCTGTGCTAGAACTCAATCGAGGGATAGGAGATCTCCTTTAGTCGTAGCGGAATGTTTAATAAAAGGATCACTGCCAATAGAAGCGAAGAGGCAAGTCCCAGGAAGACGTCTTGAAGAAGAAGACACGATCGCTGGGACAAGAGCTTTATTAGCCTGACGTTTCTGATTCCTGTTCGAATCCATCATCAGAGACAACAGCAGATACGGGTGACTCACGCACAAGGGGCTGCAGTATTTATAGGATGCAGTCGCCATGCTACTGCATGGCTATGAACATCCACGGCTTCCCCTTCATCCGGGATCGTTGCACTTGGTGTGCTAATTGTTTGATGGCCGACATTTACGTCGTTAATTGCTGCAATTTCATCACGTGCGTTGAATGTTGGTGTGATGATTGCTCAACCATCTGACGCATCGACCCTGGTGTTGGGACAAGTGTTCACATGTGCACTCCCCGCGTGGCTAATTACGCCGCCTAGGCGAAGTCTCAGCACAGAGTATGGAAGGGGAAGTTCATTACACTTGCTAATTGACTGGGACCCAGTAAACCATGATTTAAGTAGCTCTCGGCTCACGCGGTTGTCACCTCTTGCGAGAATTTCGGCCTCGTCGAATTTGAATGTGTGGCCGGATCTCGTCGAATGAGGCGCAACTTGAGAGCTGGCGTCCTTTCTCTGCACCGCTGCAGCGTGTTCGGCCATTCTCGTTTGGGGCTGTCTTCCGGTTTCTCCAACGTAGGTGCGTTGTCCGCAACTGCACCAGATCCGATAAACGACTCCAGACGTTTCCAGCCGTGGAAGCGGGTTTTTCGGTTGCATCACCAGACGCCTGATGGTTGCCTCCGGTCTGTGTGCAACTCCAACCCCAAGTGGTGCCAGGAGGCGGCCAACAGCTTCCGAAACGTTCTTGACGTACGGAAGCGCCCGCCAAGATTTGGTGTCCGTGCGGTTAGGCCTTTCGTCCCTTTTGTGTATGCACCGGTTGACAAAGTTGCGTGTGTCCCCCTCCAAGATTGCCACGCAAAACTGCGCAAGTACCGTCAAAGGATTGACCAAGAAAAGACCAGATGCTGTGAGTTCATAGGCGAGATCGGTACAAATCTGCTCCTGCAGAGGATAGCTGAACAAGCCCGCGAACAGATAATGATACGCGACGCAGTACTGGTGAACAAATTCCGAAAGCTGCCCAATGCAATGTCGCCCAGAAACGACAAACTGGTGCACAACCTGTCGTCAAAGGAGCTGACGAAGGATCAGATGCAGGTTTTACGGCACGAAGCTTCATTTAACACGGCTGACGTCAAACCTGTTAACATGATTGCAGCAGTGGAATCAATTCTTTGTCAGACGGAGGCAACGGAGGAGACTAAGAGCCTCATCCGACACCAAGTGTCGTCTCTCCTGATAACCCACAGGCCGCGGGAAGTGCTTTCCAAGGTCGAACGTGATGCGCTTAGAGAACTCAAGGCCGACAAAGACCTGGTCATCGTGCCAGCGGACAAGGGGCGCTCCACAGTTGTACTGGACAGGAAAGACTACCTTCAAAAAGCCAAAGGTTTACTGAAGGATCGACAGTTCTATGTCCCATGTGCAACGAACCCTTTAAAGGCGCTGACACGCGAAATTAATGCTACGTTGTTGGCCATGGAGAACTCAAGTGCAATAACACCGACCGACAGGCGCATGGGGAGACCCCAAAATACGGCTTTGGCCCGAATCTCTGGCCTTCCTAAGGTGCACAAAGACGGCGCTCCTCTCCGACCCATCGTGTCGCTCAAAGGGACTCCAACGTACGGACTGGTTAAGTGGCTGATCAGGCGTCTCAAGTTCCTGACCGCTGAGTCAGACACCACGGTCTCTTTGTCAGCACAATCCTTGGAGAAACTCAAAGAGGTAAGCCTCCATCAAAATGAGGTCATGGTATCTTTTGATGTTACATCCCCTTTTACTTCTATTCCCCAGGACCTGGCGATCGAGACAATCGAGCTGCTACTACAAAGCAAATATGATGAATGGGAGAATCATCTTGGATGCGCTCAAATCCTTCAACTCCTGATGCTCTGTCTCAGGACGTACTTCACGTTCGACGGGAAAATCTACAAACAGGTGAAGGGCACACTAATGCGTTCGCCGATTTCGGGATTCATCGCCGAGGCGGTCCTGCAACGGTTAGAGTCGCTGGTCTTTCAACACCACAGACCGTAGTTCCAGGCCCGGTATGTGGATGATACCTTTGTCGTTATCGACCGGGATCAACTGCTGACATTCAAGGAACGTTTGAATGCTGTCTTCCCGGACATAAATTTTACGATGGAGGAAGAAGAGAACAACCAGCTGGCCTTTCTGGATGTCGTCGTATGCCGCAAGGATTGTGGTGGACTAAAGACCAAAGTGTCCTGGAAAGCGACAAGTACGATGCAAGTACTGAACTTCAACAGCAACCACCCAATCATCCACAAACGCAGTTGTGTAAGGACGCTCTATCGGCGTGTCGAAACGCACTGCAGTGAGCCGGAAGACAAGATTGCTGAACTACAATACCTCCCACGGGTGTTAAAAACCAATGGCTACCCGCGCAACTTCGTCAACCGGTGTATACACAAAAGGGACGAAAGGCCTAACCGCACGGACACCAAATCTTGGCGGGCGCTTCCGTACGTCAAGAACGTTTCGGAAGCTGTTGGCCGCCTCCTGGCACCACTTGGGGTTGGAGTTGCACACAGACCGGAGGCAACCATCAGGCGTCTGGTGATGCAACCGAAAAACCCGCTGCCACGGCTGGAAACGTCTGGAGACGTTTATCGGATCTGGTGCAGTTGCGGACAACGCACCTACGTTGGAGAAACCGGAAGACAGCTCCAAACGAGAATGGCCGAACACGCTGCAGCGGTGCGGAGAAATGACGACAGCTCTCAGGTTGCGCCTCATGCGACGAGATCCGGCCACACATTCAAATTCGACGAGGCCGAAATTCTCGCAAGAGGTGACAACCGCGTGAGCCGAGAGCTACTTAAATCATGGTCTACTGGGCCCCAGTCAATTAACAAGTGCAATGAACTTCCCTTTCCATACTCGGTGCTGAAACTTCGCCTAGGCGGCGTAATTAGCCACGCGGGGAGTGCACATGTGAACACTTGTCCCAATACCAGGGTCGATGCGTCAGATGGTTGAGCAATCAACACACCAACATTCAACGCACGTGATGAAATTGCAGCAATTAACGACGTAAATGTCGGCCATCAAACAATTAGCACACCAAGTGCAACGATCCCGGATGAAGGGGAAGCCGTGGATGTTCATAGCCATGCAGTAGCATGGCGACTGCATCCTATAAATACTGCAGCCCCTTGTGCGTGAGTCACCCGTATCTGCTGTTGTCTCTGATGATGGATTCGAGCAGGAATCAGAAACGTCAGGCTAATAAAGCTCTTGTCCAAGCGATAGTTTTGGATTTGAATGCATTTCTTTCCCGCCGCCTGCAATAATCCTACCCGGTAAAATGTCAACTTATGTAGCGTTTACATTGTCTATCGATTTTCGATGCCTTTATAAAATCGAATGTATTTTGCGGAAAACATGTACCCAAACATTCTTTCTTCATCTCATTCGGTAGCAAATCACATCTTTTTTACAACTTCGTATTCCAAGGAAAAGCATCTCCCGATTTTAAAAAAGTTCCTAAATTTGAGATTTTGTAGGACCATGCAGCATTGGGAGGTAGTTTGGATCTCAATTGACGCACCATGGGCCTCCAGGTTCATGCGTCACAATAAGGGTGCGCATTCCCAATAACGCCTGACACAATGCAGTCTGGCCATAGTGTTGTTTCACTATTGAACATGATCCAATATCGAGCAAAATATCCTTCAGCCTCTCCTCATCAACCACTCCACCGGGACAAACCCAACGTGAAATCGCCTCAAACACTTGTTCATCAGAGTCAACTGACAAGTCTTCGCTTCGGACCAGCGAGAGAACCGTATCGCCTGGCAAACGTACAAAGATGTCATCAGAGATGAGACGAATAAACTGCGCTTCCATTAGATTGATGCAAGCATCCATTAGTAATCCAATATTTAATGACTTCGCAAAATCCCAAGTGGTTGCCAGATTTTCCAGAGTGACAGTTAAGAGCGGACAGTTAGGGAGGAATAACTGGGAAATGCTTACCTGTCAGCTATTAAATTGGCTCCCCAAATCTCCACAGCAGGAATCTTCAGCATCTTTGCGAACGCAACCATGCCCATCATATTTGCTGGCGTCATCTCCATTTTGCCTGTGTACACATAACTAATAAGCGCATTTGCGAGGCTGGAAAGTGCATAAAGAGTAGGCAAAGCTCAGGAAACGACGGATGGGGGTTTTACCTGAGAGGCACAGTAGGCCATCTGAGTACCGAATTGGCCTCCCCGAGAGGACCACTGAGCGTGGCTCGCAAGGAAGGAATGCGAGCTGCTAGTATTATTCGGTGAGCATGGAGAACCTCGCCGTTCTTTACCTAATGTATAGAAATATACGTGTAGAGAGCAGTAACAGCAGGCGAAGCTACCTCTATTGTCAGGTCTTTAATCTCTCCATCTAGGCGAATTTCATCCAGTGCAGGGCAGCTGCGAATCAGAGGAAATTCATCTTCGAAGGTATGTGTTTGTGGGATTGACATTTCAGTCGTAGCGACCAGATCAACTGCGACAATTTGTCGTGAGCGCCACGAACTCCAGCTTTTATTGCACCACCACACTCTACGCCCGCATTCACACGCTAATTGTCTGCAGGTTCTGATCAGCGGATTGCAGCGAACGGTGGATTCGATGGGGCGGCAGTTGGCAGAGTTAGGGAGTCGATTGATTATGTGAGAATACGCAGGCCTTTCATTTGCCAAGTAATCGCAGTACTTCTATCAGACAAGGCAACGCGGTCTAGAAGTTGCTAGTGGCGTCTTTCGAATCGGTAACAATCTGAAGTACGCGCGGTCAACGAGGAAACCGTGGGGTGAAGTATGGGCACACGGTTTGGGTTTGATGTGTGCTAATAAAGTAACTTGGTGGCGACCATATGCCTACCCAAGTGAACAGCGAGAAGAGACATCGTTTGACATGCAGAGGTAGATTAGTCCAGATCAGGCCAATTACCAGATTGTACTTCTTTAAACCTAAATGAACCCTGTCTTCAAGCCTAAAATGTGATATCGACGTGATTCACGATCAAATGAGTAGAAGAGAACATGTTTTGTGCATGTTTTCTATAAAATATATTTGAATTTATAAGACCATCGAAAATCGCATCGAAAAATGCATGCTACATAAGGAGTCATTTTTTTGTGATATGTGTTTTGTAGGAGAGGTGCACTCAAAAGCCGACATTCCGTCGAGTCCGAATTATTACTTGATTACGTGACATGTTAATCAGTATTAAAACCTCACCCACGTAATCCTACCAAATCGCAAACGCATTTCAGAATTTCAGACAGCATTTCATGAGATCATTCACTCATTGTCATGTGTAGGTAGATTTGAGCAGATCAGTCTTATTACCGGATCGTACTTCTCAACGTTGACAGACAAGCCAGTGGATTAAGAGGACGTAATACACCCACGAAACTATGAGATTTCGGTCGTTGTGGAGGACGATGTCTATCGTATGTCCCACGAAGTGGTCGCAGCACTGCTGACTTGTGCGTGAATTAGTTTATGTTGGGACAGACTTGCAGCGCAGCTACCACACTCTCTCCTCACTCACTCAATCACCGGGTTCTGATGGCAAAAACTGTGCCAGGATGGTCTGAGTTGGGTTAGGGTACAGTGCTTGGCAAAACTAAAGAGCCCCTTCACACATGCCGCACACGACATGGTTTCTGCGCAGTGTACCAGGCTTTCACAGAAGGCGGGGTTGAAAATTTACGTTCCTGAGTGTACCGTAGAGGAAAAATTACGGACATCCAGACCTCGCGTCAGTCACCCCACGTACATGCGTCCACAGCATTGAGTACGAGGACTGGTTTATCCAGTGAGCTGGCAGCCTTCCAAGCTACGCCTTTTAGCACGTAGTGGTACCTCTTTAAAGCTTGTCAGATTTATCATGGCGGGCGAGAGGAGAGCACTTAAGTGCTGCAGCACTTGTTTAAACCCAAAATTCCTGCTATGTTATTTCATATTATTTGCCACTAAAACGGTTACTTGTGAACTATAAAATTTATTTCGTTTATTACATGCCATTCCCGTACATTTGTGGATACCAGTTTTAAAGACAGCATCATGGGAATGAGATTTAGGATGAGTTAGGTCTACTTTGCCTTGTATTATCTGCCAATGAGGAGGTGGAGGGCGAGCGTGGAAAAGAGCAGTATTATTAATATTTGACTTCATATTAAGTTATCCCTCTTGATCGCAGACTCACTTTCCGAAGTAAAATCAGTGTTTTTATGCGATAGACAACATACACGTAGTAGGGTGAGCATTGCTGCTGAGGTTGTTAACAGCTGACAGGAGATCAAAGCTTCATGCGTCGGAAACATAGTCGTTGGACTCATGGTGGTGGTGGCCTTCAGTGGCTTTGCATGGTATCGAAGTGGTGGTGGTAGTAGTAGTAGTAGTATTAGTAGTAGTAGTAGTACTAGTAGCAGTAGTACTAGCAGTAGTGTCGGTGTTATGTGGAAATATCAATGTACAGGACAATGAGGTTTCAGGAGACAAAAGTGCAGAAATTAATTGAAGATAAGGACAGAGGAGCTGGAATGGCCATTTCTTCCTTATTAGATGTCATCAGCCAACCATGCGCAGTTTCATGATTTTGTGACTACCAACCAACAGGTTGCGGATTCGGGCCTCAGGGGTCGCCAGTCCTGCGGTTAGATATAAATGGCTGACTAGGTCTAATAAGTTAGGGGTGGGCACTCCAGTCTCGTTTGCATTTGCCGACGATCTATTTCTGCATATAATACCAGTCCCAATGAGACTGTTGACAGGGCTCTAGGATTGAGTCCCCAAAGGAGAACGAGGCAAGCGGATTCCGCAACGGATCTGTGGGCGCCCTTCCAGACAAGTGTACGTCAACACGCAGTATCTCATGAAATGTTGGCCGAAATTCATAAATGTGTTATCGATTAGAAATTACTATTTCATTAAGCATGTGGTGATGCTTATCGTGCAACATTATCCCAATATATTACAGTCACGCCTGGACGTGGTGTTTTGAATGCGCTAAATAACAGATAGGTGCACAAAACACGTGGGTAAAAATACCTGCTTAAATGTAAAGAAAACACGCAAAATGTTATTCATCCTGGAATTTATTTCGCAAATAACTTAAGTATTCCTCTTCGATTTAAAAAGGGCCTTTTGAACCGGGTTTGCCGCTGCGCTTGCGTCCAGGTCTTCCGACCTGCAACCATTCGATTTTATATAAAACTAAACACTTGGGCACAGATTTTAATAGGCCACCAGTTTCACCCAGCACTCCCTTTGTTGATGTGCGACTGCGACTTCTCTGCCTCGTCAACAGTCTCGACGTCAGTCCATCTTTTCTATGTCTTCGACGAACATGGCGACCTTTCGATGGAATCAGGAGTAGTAGTAGGCCTAAAAAAACCGCATGTGACACCGCATTCAGACATTTCTTCAGTTCGGTGTAAAATTATAGGCAAATGTCACTGCTCTGAAGGGTTGTAAACACACGGTCCAAGTAAGCAATTTTTCTAGAATTAGGATTTCCGTTTTCGCTTGTGCCACGGCTCTGTGCACAAAAATACCGTCAATCAACTTTGTTAAGTCTGTTATATTTCCTCAGCTTAGTTGCCTTTGTCTGCGGCCTTCAATGGCTTTGCATGATGGCACACAATATTCAGCTTCCGTCCCGTTTAGAGCCGGATCACTTCACTTACGAACTAATGCAAATAAAATTTTGTCTCCTTGCACCCCTGACCTGTGGATGTTGACCCACTTTTTCATCCAAAACTCAAGAATTTACGTTTTTTTTCATTTTCCAATGGACCATGCACCTAGAGAAGATCACGTTGAATAGTGCCCGTGTAGACTTTCGTCATGGTGCATGCGGGTGTCCTCATGCCTCACTCCGCTTGGGCAATCATTTATTCGGAATGTGAATGAGGTACCGTAAACTGGCGATCAGATGTTGTTTGTCCAGCGTTTGCAAGTAATTTCAGGCACTTTCAACCGCCCCTTGGGAGGACTGATGGCGGAGAGAACCTTATTCGCCGACAGCATGAGACGCAGAAGTGCATAAAAGGAGGAAGTGGGCGTCTGCCTTTATGGTCAAATGGGTAAGGGGTATTTTCTTGCCTGGCAGGCTTACAAAATCTCACTACGAACTCTCCATATTCACTTTGAGCTCAGATTAATTATATTCGTATGCAATGACCTGACGACCAACAGCCATTCAGTTTTAATGCAGTCTTGAACAACTTCCGTTCAGTTATGCGGATATTGAAACGAGGACTTGGATCTGTACATCAAGTTACGAACACTATGACACTATTTTCATAGGTGCTCTGGTTTTTGCATCACCTATCTTATCCTAGACCTATATTCGACTGTCGCTGTATGCGTTGCAGACTGCATCGCTATTCTCAACCAATGTGTGCACCTAACTCTTATCGATCACACGTGAAGTAGAGTAGTGAAATGCCCTCCACTCAAGCCAACACCTGAATCGCCTACTGCCACATCGAGCGAAGGCCTAATTCGCAGCTCCATAGGCCTCTATTCTCTCCTCAAATACCGTTCTCAGTTGCGAGGCTGCAGTGAAGACCGAGCTGAGGGGTGCGTCATCCTTCTGGCACTGGATCAATGCTCTGTTTACTCACAGTACGCGAGCATATTTTTAGTGTGCACATAGTAACCCCCCCCCCTCCACCCAACTCCAGCACCTCATCTAACATTAGTCTGCTCGAGAAGACACGCAGAAATACTCGACAGGCAAATTGGGTTGCCGGCGATTTGTTAGTGTAGCGCATCAGATTACCCCTTTGTTCCAATTGTCGGTCTTAACTCGATTATTAGACTCTTGACGGAGTTTCGTTTGTGAGAAATAGTAATCTTCTACCCGTATACTTGCACAACCTCTGCGTGTGTCAATTGCAACAAGTCGAGATATTCAACGATCTATCAGTATTTCAGTGTAATAGGGCATTTTGGGATGACAGTCATCAATAAATCTCCGTTGTCTTAATAAATTTCATTGTTGGATAAGTTAAATTAGAATAGTTTTAGAAAGATTACGGATGTTTCTATTTGACGGTAACCACTGCATTATAACCATCGATAGAAAGACCGATAGCGTGGACTGCGCATTTCTACGGAAACGAGTTATGTTTACGAAAAAGAGTCCCCTTCGCGGAATATAAGTTTAGGGGGATTTCAGCCAGCTATCACGGCATTTGCTCTTTAACTTATCATACATAGGCTTTTAATGTAAAACTTATGCAGCTGTCAAAAGAAGAGGAGGCGTTCACCGGGAGAGGTGTGTTTGAGGTCCGACGTTTCGGGTAGTCGTTTCTTCTACCCATCTTCAGAGACTGAGCAGTCGTGCACAGAGCTTTCCTTTTATGGCGCACTTTGTCCAATGCCTGGCCTATCAATGCCGCCTGTGTGGCTGCATCCGACGCGCATGTCATCGTGACCTGAATCCTCGCCGGCGTCGGTGATAATTGGCGGCCCCGATTGTCCTGCGTCGTGACTGTCGCCCGTCAAGAATGTCCGTAAAACCAGATAAGGCGCCGCTCGGAATAGGCGTTGCCCACAGGCCCGACTCAACAATCCGCCGGCAAGTGATGCGGCCAAAAGACCCGATCCCTAAACAGGAGATGTCGGCTGTTGTCTACCGACTTCAGTGTAGCTGCGGAATGTGTAACTACGTTGGGGAAACCGGCCGACGGCTGCGGATATAGAAAATCCCCAAGCGCGTAACGAGAATATTGGGTAGTCCATATCCCTGGTTTGAGCATTTTGGAGTTACAGTCCCCTCTTCCGCAAATAATTGAAATTTGCATATTTATTTTAATTTCGTTTTTTTGAAAGTTTTCGGTCAATTGAGCATTTTATTCGTCTCTCATAACCCAAATACTTTATTCCACCCAGCATTTCCCATCGAAGAATCCTTCCAGTAGGCATGTTTGCCTCCCCGGCCTGTAAAAATACGGCTTGTGCTAATTTTGTCTCAGTTCCGGACCTTTATTTACCGTAGTTTTCTAGCTTTGTTTCTTCTCGAGGAGCTGGTGTTCACAATGCTTGTACCCTCCCTGCCAATCTTCAGTATGGAGACTTCCTTTTGACTGTTGTACTCCTCCACTTCCGTTGATGTTCTTGATTCACCTTCGGCACAGCTTACGCCACATCTACAGTCCTTGCGTGCGTTTCCTACTCCAGTCCTGTGGTTCATGGTTCATCCCGGATATCAGCTGCCGTCATGCGGACCAAACGCATGGGAACAATCCTTGTCGCCGGTGGATGTGGCAGTCTGGCGCAAGTGGATGTTGTAAAGATGCTATCACCTCCAGATTCCGCATTCCCGCCCTGAAAGGATCATCTTTTTGTTAATGTGTACTCCTATTTAGTGGGGTGTCAAAAAGTTATATATTACGACCGTCAGAACACATTGGTGAATGATTTAAACGTGGGAAGCTGCTCCAGGTCTTCATATGTGAATGTTTTAGATGCAGAAGTAATTCGTTTATCGTGCATGTCGTCTATTCCTCCTTCTTGCCCTCTTTCCTCCGGATTTGCAAATGGATTTCATGAGAATTCTACAAAATCAAAGGGTTGCAATCGCCGAGAGGCCTACTGTACCATTACACTCATAGGATTACGGCACTCTGGAAGTGCAAGTGCTCTGTGGGAACATTCGATGAGATTGGCATCCATACGCATGAAGAGCGACACATTTTTGTGTTAACCTCGAGCACACAAATACACCTATTCCAAGTTAATAATAAAACGACACATGACTAAACAATATTCGCTCGAAGGTTCGGATCCATGATCGATGAATGACAGCAGCAGGATAAAGTTGTGGATGCCCACTGGGAGTAGTATGCAGCAACTGCATTTGCTATGTTATCGCTCACCCGTTAATGCTGCTAACGTCCACATTCACCGCAGGTTTTCGTAAATGGACTGATGCTGTCTCGAGTAGGCACGTCCGAAACATGAATGTTGGTGATTTTACCGTTCTTGAAAACCACCGCCCTTCTTATTCGATTAAGTCACACTCGAATTCGCACTTTGAAAGCCTGAAAATGAGTTAATCCTGAATTTTTGTGAAAGATGGAAGGCTAGACTCCAGGTTATGCCCCCGATATAATTACTATTAAATTACCATCTACCCCGTATTAAAACATTCCTCCCCCTAGAGATTCACGATCCGGCATCCCAAATCCATAATCTTCTCTACCTCGAATCGCTCCCACGTCTTCCGTTCTAGATACATTTTCTTCAATATTGGCCGAAACTCGTGCTCTCCAACCACTGTCCAGTTCTGACAAAGCAATGGTTTCTGTAACATACTCATTCTCCACCCTCCCTGGTGTAGTATACTTGCCCTTCATATCAACGTACAAATATGAGAATTTATGATTTTGTTACATTTATGCATCATATTAATGATTGAGCATCTCCCTCAGGGATTATCACACTTGATCCAGAGTAAGGCACCAAAATATTTGACTCGCGGCAAAGCGAAAGACGTTTTGATCGGCTATTCCCGATGTTGGCATTGTAGACCATTTCTATGTTTTCAAAAATAAAATGACAACATGCATTTCGACAGTTCTTGAGAAGATGAAGTGGGCTCAATGAGTAGTCGTATATTTTCAGCTTGCAAGCAACAGAAGGGACTCCGAGTCAACATGAAAGACGCACGCGTTCACATGCGAACACTTACAGCTCCACGAATCTCCGCAAGGGTTTCCAATGGGCTCTTCGTCGACCAGATCCAAGATGTCAAGTCATTGCTAAAACCGACTGAGCCTTCGGGTGCAGTAAGAGCCTCTATCGTGTTTCCTGATCCCCCATCGCCGCCTACAAATTTGAAATAATTCCCATGCGATTCCATCTTAAAAGGTCCAGAGAAATGGAGTCAAGTCAGAAGATAAACAATAATCACAATACCCGGAGCACTGCTGCTCAACCCTGTAAAATATTTTGCCAGTTGTAGTAAATCACGTGACGGAAGGATAATGCATTTTATGTTGCCCCACTGCAGAGCAAAGAAGAAGGAATCATTACCCAGAGCAAAGACCGTGTCGCGGGTGGTGACGAGAGTGAAAAATGAACGAGGCTGCTTCATCGCAGCGATGTCCGTCCACTGACCTAGCGGACATCTGGGGTCTGGAGGAGAAAACATCTCCACAACTTTGACTTTCTTGTTACGATCATCTCCACCGGCGGCGAGGATTCTCCCTCTAAAGTGTGTCGCTGAGAGAAATGCGCGCGCAGTTCTCATGGGGGCAGCTGGGAGCCAAAATTCGTCGGTGCTGGATGAGGTGGCCTTCCCTTGCCAGTCTGTTCGCAGCTGACAGAACTCCACGGAAGCAGTCCAGGCAGAATCGTTCTTACCGCCAATGACGAAGACCCGATTGTCGTGGGGTAAGCACACAGCAGCTGGACCGTTCCTCTTTTCCCGTAGATCGGGCAGCCTGTACCACCTGTTGGGGGCATGCGAGGGCGGTGTGTGGTTCGGATGAGTGCGCGAGGCAGCAACATTTACGGAAAAGCAACAGATGTGCGTCACAGGTATTCTTACCTATCCTGACTGAAGTCATACAACTCACAGGAGGAAAGGCGTTTAAATGTTCCTCCTTCGCTGCAGCATCCACCAAAAATGGCAATCAGCGTGCTCTCTTCCCATCCCTTGTCTGTAACACCAACCTTCACGACGGAGGCCGCATGATCTTGGCGTCCAACGGCGAGGGATGCCCGTTTGCGCCAATGCCGTTCTCTCACCAGGAACTCATCAACACTCGTTGAGTAGGTCTGCTGCGAAGTCTGTCCTCCGACTACGAAAATGCTCTCTTCCAGGAAGGGAAAAATGCACAAAATGTGGATGAGCTGTAGACAGGAGTCAGCAAAATGTGTCTCAACTGTTAAAGCAAGCCGGCGTAGTTCGTGAGGATGGACTGATCTTTACTTGACTGCGTAGTCTGACAATCTGCAAACTTTTTCAGATCTACTTATTCAGCAACATAACAGGTGTGGCCACAAGTGACCGACTGTGCTAGAGGGATAGGAGGTCTCCTTTAGTCGTAGCAGAATATTTAATAGCAGAATCACTATTCTTTTATTTCCCAGTATGACGCTTCCCATTTTATATGCAGGAAGTGAACCGTAATAGGCTGCTCGGAATGTCCGTTCATCGTCGAGATTCTAAAGGGGTATACTGGAGTCAGTTCATAATGATATGACTTTTGTCAATAACCGTTAGATTTTTTAAGAATATGATTGTCTTTCCTGCAAATCTCGTCCCAAAATGAACTTCATTTCCTCCAGATGCAGGAGAACACAACCCCTACCAAATTGCGTGCCTGCGTTCATTGACTGATCTCATGAGGTGTTAACTAAATCTCTGAAATACCTTTTCGATTAGGGAGATTACTTAGGTGCGGTAGTTAGACTGAACTAATGCCGTAATATTTCCAATAAACCAGGGTGTTGGCTTTTGAATGCACTTCATTGCGGCCGCCTGCAGGAATCGGACTTGGTAAAAAATTCCAACTTGTTTAGCGTGCACTTTCTCCATAGATTTTCGATGCCCTTATAAATTCGAATGTATTTTGCGCAAAAAAATGTACCAAAACATTCTTTTTTTCATCTCATTTTCATTTTCATCTCATTTTTTCATCTCATTTTCATCTCATTTGGTAGCAAATCACAGTTTTATGCAATGTCGAATTCGAAGCAAAAGAATGTTTTGGTTTTAAGAAGTTCCTATGCTTGAGATTTTGTAGGACCGCGCAGCATCCATTCGAGTAGCAATGTATATATGCATGGCTCACAACGCACATTGACTAGGAACATATACGACTACAGAAAACATTGGGGAGAGGTGCATTGGATCCCAATTGACGCACCATGGGCCTCCAGCTAGACCCGTCACCATACCCTCAATGTTGGCATTTGATGAGGGTGCGCATTCCCAATAATGCATGTCGCACTACAATCTGGCCATAGTGTTGTTCCGACATTGAGCATGGTCCAATATCGACCAAAATAACCTTATTTACTTGCTAACAGAAACGAGCACTTATATGGACGTCCAACAGTGAAAATCATGTTGTAGAATATCCCCACTAAAAAGCCCCTCATTGAATCGACCGCAGTCATTCCTATAATATTTATAGGGATTTTCAATCGTGTTATCTACTCAGAAATGCAGTGACACAAAACCTTCGGGTGCTCCGGCATACTCAGCGGCAATTTCATTGAACACTACTGAGCATCAAATTCGTCCCATGAGATTTCGACATTACCGTTTTCAGATTTTATGTAATGGCAATTATATTGCGACAAAACTGTGCTACGATTTTGCATTAGGGCATAAGCTACTCAAGTTTAAAAATATGCTGAGGAGGGTAGGTATTTGCGCAAACATGAAGCAGTCTGTGTGCGATGAAATTGGGAGGGTGGGGTCAAGGACGACGACTAACGCTCACTAACGTGTACTGGGCAGCATGCTGGGTTAGGTAAGTGTACGTCAGTAGACTCACCGCCCACGACGCTGTAAGTAGCGTAACGGCGAAATTGCATGTCAGCAACTCTGTCTTCATTCTGCAGCTCTGAATCAAAACGCAGAACCGACATTGAGCATGATCCAATATCGACCAAAATAACCTTATTTATTTGCTAACAAAGCGAGTACTTATATGGCTGTCCTACAGTGAAAATCAAGTTGGAGAATATCCCTACTAAAAAGCCCTCACTGAGTCGTTTTGAATCGGCTACATTTATTCCTATAAGCCTTATAAGGATATTCAATTCTTTCCTCTACTCAGAAATGCAGTTGAACAAAACCATCTGGTGTTGGAGCATACTCTGCGAACCTTCAAAGAACACTACTGAGCATCAAATTCGTCACGTGAGATTTCGACATCACCGTTTTTAGAGTTCTCTGCCCTATGTGATGACAATTACATTGCGACTAACGTGTGCTATGATTGTGCATAAAGGCATAGACTTCTGAAGTTTAACAATATGCTGAGGAGGGCAGGTGCTTGCGAAAACATGAAGCAGTCTGCGTGCGATGAGATTAGGGGGGAGGGGGGGTCAAGAACGGCGACTAACGCTCACTAACGTGTACAGGGGGTGTGGTCAAGGATGATGACTAACGCTCACTAACGTGTACGGGACAGCAAGCTGTTTTAGGTTATAGTACGTCAGTCGACTCACCGCCCACGACACTGTAAGTAGCGTAACGGCGAAATTGCATGTCAGCAACTCTGTCTTCATTCTGCAGCTCTGAATTGAAACGCAGAACCGACCATCTGTCTTGATTTTTATCTCTTCCGAAGACGAAAATCTCCTGAGGCGTTCTCGCGTTGCGGCTATGCCGATTGAAGGGGCACATCCTCTTGGGCGTGGCGGCAGCGCCAATCCACTGCTCAACCGCCGCCATAAGACGACTTAAACAGAATTATTACGCATTTAAATGGCATGTACTTACGCACATTCAATGTTGGTCTGGTATATCTGATGATTATCCAGCAAGTGCTCACGGAACTGAGCAGTGGTCTGATGCCACTGGACCTCTTTCAGCATCTTCGGAGCGTATATCCTCAGCCTCTCCTCATCAACCACTCCACAAGGACAAACCCAACGGGAAATCGCTTCAAACACTTGTTCCTCAGAGTCAACTGACAAGTCTTCGCTTCGCACCAGTGAGAGCACCGTATCGCCTGGCAAACGTACAAATAGGTCATCAGAGATGAAACGAATAAATTGCGTCTCCATTAGATTGATGCAAGCCTCCATCAGAAATCCAATATTTAATGACTTCGCGAAATCCCAAGTGGTTGCCAGATTTTCCAAAGTGACACTTTAGAGCGGACAGTTAGGGAGGAATAACTGGGAAATGCTTACCTGTCGGCTAATAAATTGGCTCCCCAAATCTCGACAGCAGAAATCTTCAGCATTTTTGCGAACGCAATCATGCCCATCACATTTGCTGGCGTTATCTCCATTTTGCCGGTGTACGCATAACTAATGAGCGCAGTTGCGAGACTCGAAAGTGCATAAAAAGTTGGCAAAGCTAAAGAACCGACGGATGGGGGTTTTACCTGAGAGGCACTGTAGGCCATCTGAGGATCGAATTGGCCTCCTCGGCGGGACCACTGAGCGTGGCTCGTAAGGAAGGAATGCGAGCTGCTAGTATTATTCGGTGAGCATGGAGAACCTCGCCGTTCTTTACCTAATGCATAGAAATGTACGTGTAGATAGAAGAAACAGCAGGCGAAACTACCTCTATTGTCAGGTCTTTAATCTCCCCAGTTAGTCGAATTTCGTCCAATGCAGGGCAGCTGCAAATCAGGGGAAATTCATCTTCGAAGGTATGTGTTTGTGGGATCGACATTTCAGTCGTAGCGACCAGATCAACTGCGACAAATTGCCGTGAGCGTCACGAATGTCACCTTTTATCGCACCAACACCACCACACTGTACGCCCGCATGCGCACGCTGATGGTCTGCAGGTTTTGATCGGCGGAGTGCGGCGAACGGTGGATTCGATGGGGCGGCAGTTGGCAGAGTTAGGGAGTCGATTGGTTATGTGAGAATACGCAGGCCTTTCATTTGCCAAGGAATTGCAGTAGTTCTCACAGACAAGGCTAAGCAGTCAAGAAGCGGTTAGTGATGTCTTTTGAATGTGTAATAAGCTGAAGTATGCGCGGTCAACGAGGAAACCGTGGGTGTGAAGTGAAGTATTGGCACACGGTTAGAGTTTGATGTACGCTAATAAAGTAACTTGGTGACGACCAATTTAACAGCGAGAAGAGACCTCGTTTGGCATGCGGTGGTAGATTCGACCAGATCAGGCTAATGACCGGATTGTATTTCTCATCTTTGGCAGACAAGCCAGTCTATTAAGTTGACGTAACAAACCCGCGAATCTATGAGAGTTCGGTCGTTGCGGGTGGCTATGTCTATTGTGTGTCGCATGAATTTGTCGCAGCACTGGTGACTTGCGCGTGAATTAGCTTATGGTGAGACAGACTTGCGCAGCAGCTACCACACTCCCTCCTTACTCACTCATTCACTCAGCGGGCTCTGATGCCAGGATGGTCTGAGGTGGGATAGGGTACAGTGGTTGACAAATCTAAAGAGCCCCTTCACACATGCCGCACACGACATGATTTCCGCACAGTGTACGAGATTTCCACAGAAGGCGGAGTTGAAAATTTACATTCCTGAGTGTGCCGTAGAGGAAACATTACGGAATGGTCATTATGCCTGACTCCTAGACCTCGCGTCAGTCACCCCAAGTACATGCGTACACAGCATTGAGTACGAGGACTGGTTTATCCAGTCATCTGGCAGCCTTCCAAGCCACGTCTTTTAGCACGTAGTGATAACTCTTTAAATCTTGTCAGTTTTATCATGGCGGGGGAGTGGAGGGTAGTTAAGTGTCGCAGCCCTTGTTTAAACCCAAAATTCGTGCGATGTTATTTCATATTACTTGCCACTAAAACGGAAACGTGAGTATAAAAAATTTTATTTCGTTCTTACATTTCATTCCCATAGATTTGTAGATGCTAGTTTTACAAACACCAGCATGGGAATGAGATTTAGGATGAGTTAGGTCTACTTTGGCTTGTATGATCCGCCGACGTGGAGTTGGAGGGAGAGCGTGGAAAAGAGCAGTGTTCGTATAAAGTTATCCCTCCTGATCACAGACTCACTTTCCGAAGTGCAGTCAGTATTTTTATGCGATAGACAACATACACGTAGTAAGGTGAGCATTGCTGCGGAGATTGCAAACAGCTGCAAGGCGATCAAAGCTTCGTACCTCGGAAACATAGTCGTTGGACTCATGGCGGTGGTGGTCTTCAATGTCTTTACATGGTATCCAAGTAGTGGTAGTAGAAGAAGAAGAAGTAGTAGTAGTAGTAGTAGTAGTAGTAGTAGTAGTAGTAGTAGTAAAGTTGGTGTAATGTGGAAATGCCAATGCACAAGCCAATGAGGTTTCAGGAGACAAAAGTGCAGAAATGAATTGCCGACAAAGACAGAGGGGCTGGAATGGGCATTTTCTCCTTATTAGTCGTCATCAGCCAACCATGCACAACCCCAAGATTTTCTGAGCCCCAACCAACAGGTCGCGATTTCGGGCCTCAGGTTTCGCCAGTCCTGCGGTTGGATATGGTTGGCTGATTAGGTCTAATAAGCCAGAGGCGGGCACTCCAGTCTCGTTTGCCTTTGTCGAAAATATCTATTTCTGCATATAATACCAGTCCCGATGAGACTGTTGTCGAGGCTCTAGATTGAATCCCCAAAGGAGAACGAGGCTAGCGGATTCCGCAACGGATCTGTGGGCGCCCATTTAAACAAGTGAACCTCATGAAATGTTGGCTGAAATTCGTAAATGTGTTATCGATTAGAAATTACTATCTCACTATGTATGTACTGTTGCTTATCGTACAACATTATTCCAATATGTTGCAGTCACGTCTGGACGTGTTGTTTTGAATACGCTAAGTAACAGACACGTGCACAAATCACGTAGGTAAATATGCCTACTTAATTATAAAGAAAACACGCAAAATATTATTCATCCTGGTATTCATTGTGCAATAGCCTAGGTATTCTTTTTCAATTAAAAAAAGCCTTTTGAACCGGGTTTGCCGCTGCGCTTGCGTCCAGGTTTACCGACCTGCAATCGTTCAATCTGATATATAACTAAACACTTGGACACGGACTGTAATAGGTCACCTGCTTCACCCTGCACTCCATTTGTTGATGTGCGACTGCAACTTCTCCGCGTCGTCAGCAGTATTGGCGTCAGTCCATCTTTTCTATGTCGTCGACGAACATGACGACCTGTTAATCGAAAGACGAATCCTACGCTATTGTACGACAGCGGAAATGAGAGTAGTTATTATACAATAAACAAAAAGTAAATTTTACAAAATAACGGATTTTGAGTTAAAGTGTGAGGTTGTGGGAAGTAATCGTTGTTGGCAGTGTACTTTCTGCAACAGCCTGCAGATGCGTGCCAAGGCAAAACCCCATATGACACGGTCCACAGTCTACTGACAGTTAAGTGGGCCCTTCTCTATACAGTCGCCAATTAAACCAATGCTTGACGATTGTTCCACGTCACTAACGATGACAGGAATCTTGTCGTTTCGTGAAGACAACTCGAATCAGTTTGTCTCAGGTGATTTTGGCACTGACTTGATATTTTGGATCTAGTCATGGAAATGCTTGATGGTAACATTTAAGGAGATTGCTGTGGTGGGATCCGTACGCATGTAGACCAATACCTATTTTGTATTAACCTCGAGACCGCTAAACCTATTACAAAGTAAACATAAAACAACCCATGAATAAACAATATTCACTCTAGCTTTCGAACCCATGACTCATCAAAAACAGCCACAAAAAGTCACAAAGTACGCTTGTTGCTGCAGCATATATCTGTTAAGCCGACATTTAAATGTCACCACAGATTGAGACATGACAACCGTCTCGGGCAGGTTATTCCACGGTTCCACGACACGGTTGGAGAAGAAATATTTTCTTACATTCAATCTATCCTGGGGCACAAGTAGCCTGAAGGGATGTTCGCGGAGGTGAGTTGTAGCGGAGAGTTGGAAAAAGTCATCGCACCGAAGGGCGCAGTCCAAGCCACGCACGGTACAAAAAGTTTGTATCAAATCACCGCGCAACTGCCTATAACTCACAGGATAGAGATTAAGATTAGTTAAGCGGATCTCATATGGGGGTGCACTTTAACCTCTTATTAATTCTGTTGCTCGCCTCTGCACCCTTTCGAGCAGATTGTAATCCTGATGCGTCCACGGTCTCCAGGCCTAAATTGCATATTCGAGATGCGGCCTTACAAACGTGCCGAAGACTTTGGAGAAGCAGTCCTCATCGAAAACTGCGAATGCCCGCTTGATGGCATATAGCATTGAAGTTGCGGCCTTGGACGCCTTACAACACTGTGCAGAAGGCTTTAGGCTGTCTGCAACCCAGACTCCGAGATCTTTTTGAGTTTCTGCTCCTCGGAGTGGCATTCCGTTCAGATGGTATTGCCGCATACTAGGGGTCTGATTTCCGAGGCGCAGAATGGTACACTTGTTCAAATTGAAGGGCAAGAGCCATCTGCGGGACCACTCGTCCAATCGACAAGGATTTTCTTGGAAGTTGGTCTCATCGGCAGCATTCTGGATTACTTTCCGGATTTTTATGTCATCCGCTAACATGGCACAATCACAGTCCAACCCATCTACACAATCATTGATGAACAAGAGAAAGAGGGTTGGTCCGAGCATCGAGCCTTGTGGGACCCCACTTTCTATGAATGTGCACCTTGAATGCTGTTGTTCAACGCTGACAATTTGGGAGCGGCCGACAAGGAAATTTTCGATCCATTTGAGAAGTTTGCCACCGATGCCCATAATTCTCAACTTGTGCAGGAGACGCTGGTGCGAAACACTGTCAAACGCCTTTCGGAAATCAATATAGGCAACATGCACGGTGTGTTTTGCGTCCAGTGCTCTTATCCAACTTTGCATTGTGTATAGCAATTGGGTTACACATGATCTTCCCCTACGGAAACCGAATTGTGCATTGGACAAGAGGTTGTGGGTTTCCAAGTAAGCCATCAACTCCTTTTTTATGGTTTTCTCCATCACTTTGCAGCAGATTGATGTCAGACTGACGGGTCTGTAGTTTGTCGCAAGAGCACGACTACCGCTTTTGTAAAGGGGTGTAATGTGGGCCGTCTTGCAGTCTGTGGGAAGGATTCCAGTATCAAACGATTTCTGGCACAGAAAGGATAGTGGTTTGGCCAGCTGTCGGGCAAGCTCAAAGAGCAGCTTTGCTGGGATCTCGTCCGGACCGGGAGATTTACATTCCTTCAAGCTTTTCAGTACTTCCAAAATCGCTTCTTCTCTAAAAACAATATTTTCGACAGTGGAATCTCTCATGTTCTCAGAATTAGATGCCCAGGGCATGTAGGTGTCTGCTATGCCTGGATCAGCAAACCACCGCCCTCGCAGCCTGGTGCACGATGACTCCTGATTCCCTGCCGGTAGATGCATTTGCACTCGCGCTGGGTATACAGATCGTGTGCATAACTGCTCAGTCTTTTTCGCCTTTCTGACTCGTTTTGATACTGTCCTTGGTGGAAATTCTGCTCCAGTGTTTGTCGTGGACGAGGGCGTGTGGCGGTACGCCTAGGTACGTGTTCGGTCGTGCCAGCAACCTGCGTCCTCTCCCGCCTGCGGTCTTCTTGGCCCAGGTGGGGAGTAGAGTGTGCGGTTTATGCCGCTGACTTCTTCTCTCACTAAAAACTAATTCACGCGCGCCATCCTGCCTGCATCACACTGTGAACATCGTCGGTTGCGACGG